TCCTCCTCCTCACCCTCCTCCTCCTCCTCCTCCTCCTCCTCCTCCTCCTCATCCCCCACCCTTCCCTTTCCCCCGCCTCCCCTCTGCCTGCTTCCTCCCTGTTGCCCCGCGCCCCGCGGCCCCGCCCCTCCCTGGGCGCCTGGGCCTTGTTCGGGGCGCCAGCGGGCCCGACGAGGAGCGGGCGGCGCCGAGACGCGGGGGGGGGGGGGGCCCTCGGGTTCGTCGCCGTCGTCGTCGTGGAGGAGGGAGGGAGGAGGGAGGGAGGAGGGGCCCAACGTGGATCTATTTTGACACATGTGGACCCAAGTTCATGGACCCGACGCGGACTTAACTTGGCACATGTGGACCCACACATCAGCCGTAACCTAGCCAGGGCTAAGTCAAAGCTAAATCAAGCTAAGTCAAAAGCTAAATCAAGCTAAGTCCAAAGCTAAATCAAGCTAAATCGTTTATAAATTCTACGGTGAGGTCGGCGTAAATGAGATATAAGTGATATATAACCCATTTGGCCGCATTTATGTTAAATCGAATATAAGTCAACTTCTGTACTTATAAATGTTATAAGTGCTGCGGGCAGTTATAAGAGTTATAAATCACAAATCAGTTATAACTCTACTTATAAGACGTGTTGCACGTTTATATTTCTACTTATAAGTACTAGTCTAAATGTAAGTGCGCGCCCGCGCACGAAGCACCCTGATCTCTCCCCCCCTCGTCTTTCATCCTTCCGCCGTCCCTCATCCTCTCTCGTCTATCCAACCCTCCTCCTCCCTATTTCCTCCCTCATCTCTCATCCCTCCATCGTCATCCCTCCCTCCCTCCCTCGTCTTCGTTCCCGTCGCCGTCGTCGTCCTTCTTGCCGTCGTTATCGTGCCCCTCTCCGTCCTCCGTGGCGCGCGCAAGCCAGCCCAGGCTCCCCGTGTCGCTTCCTTCCACCAACGCATCGTCGGCCGAACCCCTCTGGCCACCGTTGCCGCAACCATTCCTGATCGATTCGCGCGGCACACGAGGCCGGCCCGTCTCCCTGCAGACCTTCTGTCCGCGACGCGGGCTTGTCATGGCTGCGCAGGCGGCTCAACCCCAGGCTCGCGGGCGCGCCGCGGCCGCGGCGGCGCCCCCGGCGCCCGCGCCCGCGCCGCCCGCGCCCGCGCCGCCCGGCCCTGCCGAGTCCGCCTGTCAGTTCGTTTTGGCGAAGCGCAACGGTCAGAAACTCATCCACGACGGTTCATCTACAACCTCCGTTACGCCGCAAAGAATGGCAATCGCACCCGGCGCTGCGAGAAAGGTGCTCGGGTGCGCGGCGGCCAAGTGCAGACCCGCATGGAGGGGCCCCGAACCGTCGTCCAGCAGGTGACGCTGCATGCGCACCGGCCAACTCCGGACAAGGCCGTCGCGGAGCAAGTCCGCGCCAAGGCAAGGGCCGCTGCGTCGCGACAGCCCGACGCCACTGCCACGAACGCGGCCTCGGCCGCGTTCGCGAAGGTCCCGCGGGCATCGTTGGCCGCGACGCCCACCGCGACCAACCTGAAGCGGGCATGCTGGAGGGCGCGGTTGCCAGGACAGACCACGCGCCCGAAGAGCGGGGAGCAGGCGCCGCAGGATTTCGACTACTCCACGCTGGAGGCGCTCAACGTCCCTGACACTCTCAAGCAGGTGGGCGGCGAGGAGTTCCTGGCGTACGACAGTGGAGCTGCGCCAGGGGGCAAGCGCATCCAGGTGCGGGGCTGCGCGAAGAACTTCGACTTCCTGGCCGCGGCGGGCGTCTGGCTGGCAGACGGCGCGTTCCGCGCGGCGCCTGCCCCCTTCCTCCAAGTGCACACGGCGCACGGGTGCCCGGAAGGATACGTCGCGCCTTGTCGTTGCATCTTGCTGGAGGACAAGAAGATGGCAACGTGCAAGCGCGCGTGGGAGGCCGTGCTCCAATTGCTCTCCCCCGAGGACCCCGGGCCGACCCGTCTGCTCGATTACGAGGAGGTTTCCTACCAGGCGGCCTCGGCCGTGTTCACGAGATCAACATCGGCGGGTGTTACTTCTACTTCCGCGCCGCCGCGCGCGAGCGCGTGGTCGACCTGGGCTTGGGCAACAGGCGCGGCGGGAACGCTGAGTTTCGCCTGCGCGTCGGGAAGCTATGCGCCCCCGCGTTCCTGCCCGTCGACTCCGCGGCGGACTGGTTCGAGACCCTGGCCGCCGAATTCCCCAGCGAGGAGCTCGAGCTCGCGTCGCGCTTCGAATCAGACGTGGGCGGGCGAGAAACCGGCCAGGGCCAGGGTGCGAAAGGCCCCCGCGTTCCCCGCGGACATCTGGAACGTTCGCCGTCGCACGCTCGACAAGAAGCCCCCCGCCACGAACGCGCCGGAATTCTTCCACCGCCACCGCGCGGCGCAGTTCCACAAAGGCGCCCATCCCACATGCCCGGCCTTCATCCTGAGTTCGCACAGGCAGCAGAGAATCACCGGCCGGGACATCACTGATATCGCCATGGGGGGCGAGAAGAAACTGCGCGAGCCCACGCGGGTTTGCGGAGACAAGCAGTGCAATTTGGTGAACAAGTATGCGGGGGACACGGGCGGGATCTCCCTCGCGACGCAGCTGGCGCACCTGGCCATGAGCGAGGAGCGGCGCTCACGGCCGCGCGCGACGAGTCTCTCAGCCGCCAGGCCGATCGCGGCAGCATGATCGTTTTGCTCTCCCCGGGGAGAAACCCTACCCTGGAGAAACTTCCAGAGCTTCTGCAGCGCAGCCTCGTTCATCTTCCAATTGGGTTCGCCGTGTGCTGGACACGGCGCTCCGAGACCATTGGGCCCATTGATCGCGCACTGGGAGCACCGCTTTCAAAACGGCAAAACCTGTCCGACAGGGGCCCCGGGCTTAGCCGAGAGCTCACACCATTCGAGATCGTGGGTGTCCGCGAAGCGGGCTGCCCACCTAGGAGGAGGAGGCGGAGGAGGGCCAGGAGGGGATAGAGGAGGAAGAGGAGGAGGAGGAGGAGGAGGAGGAGGAGGAGGAGCCGCAGGAGGGCCGCCGACGACGTCGTCGTCGTCGTTCGGAGGGAGGGGAGGAGGAGGAGGAGGAGGAGGAGGAGGAGGAGGAGGAGCAGGTAGGGGAGGAGGAAGTGGAGGCCATCGCCAGGGAAACCGCCCGCGCCATAACAGTCACCCAAGGCGTTGGGTGACTGTTTTGGGCGGGCTTGCTTTGTTCAGGAGGAGGCGGGAAAGGAGCAGGTAGAGGAGGGGGAAGGGGAGGCCGTCGCCTGGAAAAACGCCCGCGCCAAAACAGTCACCCAAGGCGGTGGGTGACTCTTTTTGGCGCGCGGAGGAGGAGGAGGAGGAGGAGGAGGAGGAGGAGGAGGAGGAGGAGGAGGAGGAGGAGGAGGAGGCGGAGCAGCAGCAGGAGGAGCAGGAGGAGCAGGAGCAAGAGCGGGAGGAGCGCGAGGCCACCCACGGGAACAGGACGGGGAGGATGAGTAGGAAAATAAACACCGTCGTCGTCGTCGTCGTCGTCGTCGTCGTCGTCGTCGTCGTCTGCGTCGCCGTCGTCGTTATCCACGTTGTCGGCGTCGGCATCGTCGTCGTTTTCGTCGTCGTCCTCGTTCTCGTCCTCGTCGTCGTCGTCGTCATCGTCGTCGTCTCCGTTGTCTTCGTCGTCGTCGTCGTCGTCCTCGTGGTCGTCTTCGTCGTCGTCGCCGTCGTCGTCTTCGTCGTCGTCGTCGCCGTCGTCGCCGCCATCGTTGTTGTCGTCGTCGTGGCAGAGACGGTTACAGGGAAGCGGTTCCGGGGAAGCGGTCCCGGGGAAACGGCGCGCCGGGGAAGCGGTTCCGGGAAAGCGGTTCCGGGGAAACGTTCCCGCGGAAACCGAACCGGGGAAGCGGCCCCGGGGAAACGCTCCTCCGGGGAAGCGGCCCCTGGAGAAGAGGTCTCCGGGGAAACGATCCTCCGGGGAAACGGTCCTGCAGCGGTTCCGGGGAAACGGTTCCCGTGCAAACGGTTTCGTATCATGCAGAGTCCTGGAAAAGTTTGAGGCGCATTTCAGGAAAGTCCCGTTTCGTTTTTGATGAGTTTTGTTGTTGTCCCAACCATTTTGTGGCGTTGGGCCGTCGTCTTGAAAAAACGCGAACCGCGTTCCTCTCCTCTTCCCTCCTCCTCCCCCTCCCTCCTCCTATCCCTGCCTTTTGCCCTCCGCTTGTCCACCTGTTCGGCACACTTTTGCACGCGCTTCGTGGCTCCATAAGGAGCTCCATCGACGGCCATAGTCGCAACGTCTACATGCAATCCCCCGACAATTCTGGCACACCCCTCACACGCTTCGCGGCCCCATGAGTTGCTCCATCGAAGGCTTCAGTGGCAAAGTGGTTCCCAGGCCATTTCGGCACACCCCTCAAACGCTTCGTGGCCTCATAGGGAGCTTCACCGAAGGCCCTAGTGGCAAAGCCCACATGCGGTTCCCCGCTAATCTGGGCACGCTTCTCGCAAGCTTTGTGCCCCCAGAGGGAACGCCACCGAAGGTCCCAGTGGCAAAGTCCACATGGACAGAGTGCCCCACCGAAGGCCGCAGTGGCGAAATCCACATGCGTTTCCTCACAAAAATAGGTATACCCCTCACACGCTTCGCGGTCCCATACGAAGCTCCACCGAACGCCCCAGTGGCACAATTAGCACGGGCCTGGGTCCCTGCATGCGGCTGGCCCACCCTGCAGTTGGAGCCCTCCTTGTGCCCCGGTGGGCGTACGGTGGGCGCCCTCCCCCGCCACGCGCGGCGGTGCCCGACGCTGCTGCTGCTGCCCAGCGCCGCCGCCCCGGGTCCCCACAGGCGGGGCGTCCCCCTCCCTGTCCACTTCCCCCTTCCCCCCTCGCTCTCTCTCCCTTCCTCCGCGCGCGGCCATGGCGTTGGATGGCTGCTTGCAGCCTGCGCTGCTGCCGCGGGCCTGCTCTTGCCGCGCGCCGCGCCCGCTCTCTTCCTGGTGGGCGCGCCGCCTCAACTTTTGGCTTTGGCACGGATCGCGTCGCATCCTGATCCACCTGGCTTGTCCGGGTGCCCGCAATGCGCCTCGCCGCCGCCCGTTTGCAGCGCAGCAGCCGCCGCTTACCCCGCCGGCGGGGCCGGCCGCGAAACTCGCTCCGGGTGCGACCCGTCCCCCCGAGCGGCCCTCGTTCCTTGTTCCTTCCTTCGGCCGTCCTCCCCGTTGTCCTCCCTTTTTCTTGCATTGTGGCACAATTCGTTTCAACGGTATCCCCGTTTTGATTTCTCGTCCGCCAGCGCAGTTACTCATGCCTAGCCGCCGACGTACAAAATGTGTACCTGCGAATTTCATGATCACCATTTTTCCCCGGGCTCCTGAGAGACGCGATGGGACAGGGGGCCACGCGCACCCAGCTTTAGTTTCGCTGCTCCTCTGGTGTTTGCGAACTGCGTAACTGGCGTCAGTTTCGTGGGTTCCTGGGAGGTCCAGCGGAGTTGGGGGCCACGCGCACCGAGATGAGACCTCGTTGCTCTTTGGGCGGCTCCGAATTCACTGTCGCAGGCTCGTGGAAAGCGCAGCGGGGGCGAACGCAATGCAGATAGACCATTTCCTGCAATGTGTTCTTCGTTGTGGAACGTTCAGGCAAGTATTCGCCTCGTGTGGAGAAGGGAGGTGGGCACGTCTCATGTATTTGTTTTGAGTTTGCTGTGTTCAGACGTTTTTTGTTGAATCGGTTTGAATTCGATTTGAATCTGTCAAACTGTATGGGGGCTTCAGTTTTTCCAGCGATGCCTGTTTGTAGCTCGTTTTTTCTTTAAAAACACCATATAAAAAATGGAAGCGCTTATCATGTTAAAACTTGTACCTCAAGTCCAGTTCGGCTCGAGCCAATTCAACTCCGGCCGGAGTCGACGGACGTTCGACGCACCATCGATGCATGAGTGGAGCGAATGGTTCCAGGAAGGTCCCCAGAACGATCATACGATAACCGCCGCCTTGGGGATCGATCACCGGAGTCCTCGGCAGGCGGTGGGTGTGGATACGCTCGGGATCCACATCCGCCGCCTGCCAAGGTCCCTGAAAATCGATCCTCCAGGGCGGTGGCCTGGACAAGCTCCCGCTCCCGCCTCGCAAAACAGGCGTGCGCCCGCGCGGACAAACGGACGCGCGCGCGAGCTGGGGGGGCCGCCGACGACCCCAGACCTCACTGCGCTGCGGCTTCGATTGGTCCCCACCAGGCCCTGGGGCCGCCCAAGGACGACCTGGGATGAAAAGCGGGCCCCAGGGAGAGGCGTCCAGGCCTCGTGGAACAGGTCACGGCGCCTGAGTTTAGGGACCGAGGGCGGGACACACGACTTTAACCCCAAGGCCCTACATCTCGTGCGTTCTGGCCCCCCGTCTCATCTGCCACCTCCTTCGCCTCGGAGCATCGGGAAACCGAAAGGCCTCTTTGGGCGTCTTCGAGGCATCTTGGGCCGTCTGGGGGCCATCTTGTCGTTTTGGACTGATCATTCGGCGATTATGTGTCCTCGTGGACCGACTGGGCGGCCTCCTGAAGTGTTCTTGGCCTGGTTTGGGGTGCTCCTGAGCGAGCGTTCCCAGAGACCCACGCGGGGATGGCCCTGAGAGCGCCCAGTAGCGCCCAGGAACGCCCAGAAGCACTTGGGAATCCCGGGGTCCGGACCTTGGAGAGTTTTACAGCTTTCCACCTCTCAGCGCTAGCTGCGCTTTGCACCCCATTTCGTGCCGCCGTGGGGAATTGTTGCTGATTATTCATATAGGTTGATGAATGTTGGGTCACTGCGAAGATCAGCCTGTGCCCACCTCATGGTATTTATTGGCAGGGATCGTGAGGGTTCGACGGCTGCGAAGATCAGCGAAGCATCGAACCGTTTTTCGTATAAGATCAGGAGTGTTGGGTTGCAAGATCCGCTAGTGTTCACCAACTGGCATTTTTGCAAAAGGACCGTGAGGGTTCGGAAGAGCCGATGTGCAGTCGAAATTTGTGCATGGATGGGATCGGGGGGGGCGGGGGGGGGGGAAATCGGGGTTGTACATCAGGTATCCCTCAGGAGCATCTCAGGAGAACCTCAACACCCTGCTAGTGGGTAGTGTTGCTGGGGTGATCCTGTTAGCCACCTTGGCCCAAGGCGCGGGTTGTTCGCCCTCGTGGTCTGACCAATTCAACTACGTGATGCGGTGCTTCTGCACCTGCTTGCTCTTCGCTGTACTCTCGGCAGTGGTGTCTTGTCGGCGCGCTGCACACTCGCTTGCCACAACTGAGCCGCGGCGCATCAATGCCGGGGAGGATATCAGCCAGAGTTTGTACGAGGCGGCGATCGCGTTAAAGAGGGCAGTTTTGAAGCAATCGCACGGGGACAGTCGCACACCTTTCGGTGATTGTGGCCCCGCGTTCCAAGCTCTCCCAGTACTTGCTGCAGGTCCTGTGGCTCTGAATGAGTTAGGGTTCTTGGCGAGCGGTGGGATTTTTTGGGCGACTGACGATGGCCAAACTCTCGTGAAGTCGATCGACAAGGTGGAAGCCGACGAATTAGCGCGGTGGCGCAGTGAACATGTGGTCTCCAACGTGTATCCGACTTGCGATGCATTCGCGTCCACCCTCTTGTTGCCTTATCCTCTGCGCTTCGACGGTGCAGATGGGCAGACCTGGGTGGCAATGGAGAACGAGACCTGGCGCATGGAGCGCACGGCTGGGCCTGGCTGGCGCGTGGGGGGGGTGTTTGACCTGAAGCCGCTGCCCAACCTGTCCAAGGGCCTCGCCGCGATCCTCAAAGAGCTCATCCAGGAGAGCGTATTTGCATTCCCGGGTGATGGCGGGCGTTACGCGGGGGCGGGACTGGGGAGCGGGAAACATCACGTTTCGCTCCGGCGGCTCATGGGAATGTCTGAGGAATAATTAATGCCAGCTCATAGGGCAGCACGAATCGTAACGTTGCCTGGGGGAGGGGTGCGGCTAAGGCCGGTAACGACCGCTATCGCAAAAAAATAACGCTCTCCAGGGCCTCCTCGCGGGCCTGCCGCACCTCGCGTCGTGGCAAGGCTGGGCGGCAGTCCGGGAGCTTACCAGTCCAAAACCCATCCCCATCCCTACGATTGGCCGGTCTCGAGACATCTCTGAGATTGTCATCGCCTTCGGCTTGAGAATCCCCTGAGAATCGACGTCCAAAACAAATGCAATCTCGCGAAACATCACGACAGGAGCCCGAGACCCCATGTTTCTGCAGGGCATGCTTCGAGCCAGTTAGATATCTGATGGTCCCTAGGCCCGAAGCTTCGCGGAAATTGCGACGCCCAGATCTCAGGGTCTTAGGAGTAGAGATGAGCTCGAGGCTGGTTAGGAGCAGCTCTCGCGCGACGCGGCCCTGCTCTCCAGCGCGGGGGTGGTAGACTTCTCGCTCTTCGCGCACCTGCTGCTCCCCACCGAGAACAAGGGGGCCGCCGACCCTGCGCTTGTGCCGCCGGCCCTGTCAGCGGCGAGTGGCTGCATCGTTGCTCCCGAAGGGGAGGCCATTCTGTGTCTCAAGGTCTTAGATTATGCTGGAGAGGTTTTTCGCCAGTCGGCCGATCACCATGAGGAGCGATGTCGTGAGACTCTGTTGTCCGAGACGGGGATTCGTCCATGACCACGGCCTGGGGGATCGATCTTCGGGGACCTCAGCAGGCAGCGGATATGGATACATTCGCCCGCTGGGGTCCCAGGACGACGGTTTCCAAGGAAGTGGATATGGGTATATCCCCGCCTCGCATGTTGGGAACCCTTGGAGGTATTTTGAAGCTTCCAAGGTGCCCTCATGGTGCCTTCGAGGGCACTATTGGGCCGTCTCGGGCTCTGTTGGGGCTTCCTCTGACGTCTCTTAGGGTCATCGTGGCGACCTTTTGGTGGTCTGGGTCGTCTTGGAGACATTGAGGCTATCCAGGGCAGTCGTGCGGTCGTCCTGGGGCCATCTGGGGGTTGACGTGGAGGCGAGCTGGAAACCTCTCGGTCTCTGGGGCCATCTTCCGAATACAAATCGAGGCTGTCTTGAACCAGAACACATGGCAGATGCACATATGCACACACACACACATACTCGAGAACAAAAGGAATCTCACAAGCCCTCCATCTGGTGTCCTCCTGGAGCCATCTTGGCGCCTTTTATTGCCTCATGGGGATATCCTGGAGCAACTTTAATCGTTCTGAGCCCTCTCGGGGACCACTCGAGCTAGTTGGAGGGCCTCTGGTGGGCTGTTTGGGAGGCCTCCGCGGGCCGGGAAGGTGGGTGGAGGAGCTCAGGACCCCTTCACCCCTGCAGGTGCCCCCCTCCCCTTCTCGAGCAACATTGTGAACCCTGGGCAGGGTGATCCGTGGCCTGCCAGGGCCGCCTGCGATCCGATTCGAGGCTACTCGGTTCGCGGACTTTGCCCGCAATTCCAGTTCGGTTCACTTTGGCTCGATTCACCGGCACCGGCAGGGGGCCAGCCGGAGCTGGGCGCGGCGATCCGACTTCGATTCGATTCGGGGCGATTCGTTGTGGATCCAATCCGTTCCCGATTCGCTCCGATTTCGCGACTCGATCCGGCTCAGGCCTGACGGCCAAGCAACTCACCCGCCTTGTCACCCCTTGGCACGCTGGGGCCACCGGGTCTCGTAGGGTTGCGCCCAGATGCAGTGGGGAGGCAGACCTGGAAGATGATGGTATGAAGGAATCGGGGGCGCCAAAGAGGGGGATGAGGACTAGGGGGGTGGAGATCATGGCCGGGGTCAGGACATCTTCCATGGCCCCCTCTTCTTCGTTCAAGACGTTCCTTGGCCCCCCCTCGTCCGTGCACATGCCTCGGGCTATGATTTGTTATCTCCCACCTCTTCCACGCCCCCCCTCTTGGACCCCCGAGGGAAGGGGCGGGTACATAAAGAGATGATGTGGAGGAGGGGGGAGGAGGACGGGGAAACCAATGAGGAATGAAGGATGTGTGAGGGGCCATGCGGTTGGAGCCTGGGGCGCGCTGGGGGCCTTCTCGCGGGGCTTCTCGCTCCGCTTGGGGCCTTCGTGGGCCATCCTGAGGCTTCTGAGGCCCACTTGGGGCAGCCAGGGCGGGAAGGCCGAAACTATTGACGAATCTGCGTTCCAGTAGTTTGGTACTGTTATCTCGGGGGGGCTCGTCAGCTAGGTACCTCGCGGCAACCTGGGGCCAAGAGGCGCCATAACGGCCTCCTTGGGTGGTCTTGAATGCCATCTTGGGTTGTGTTGGGCCACACTGGGGCCATCTTGCGCATCCTGAGGGGCCTCGAAGGCCCAGGAGGTGCGTTGCGGTGGCTAGCTCGCCCCTTCCCCTTCACATGCGTTGTTGGATTCCCAGGGGAAGTGAACAAGAGAAGCTAGCCAGCGTTGACCCCAAACAGTGTGCTTTGAGTAAGCTACGCTGTGCAATATGTGTAGAGCAATCTAACTGGTGCAATATGCATGGTGCAATTTCAATCTGTGTTGTGCAGACCATGGTGTTCAGCATACGTTATGCAATCTTTGTGGTGCGAATTTTTGCGGTGCGCAATCTATGTTGTCCAACATTGTGCAGTCTTTGTCGTGCAATCTACGTTGTGCAGTGTATATTGTGCAATGTCTGTTTTGCAATCTATGGGGGGCGACGACGAGGCGGCGACGGCGAGCACGGAGCCACCAGACCGGAACGCAGGCCCAAACGACGGGCAGCGACGAGGCGGCGACGGGGAGGCGACGGCGAGCACGCAGCCGCAAGACCGGCACTCAGGCCCAGACGACGGGCGGCAACGAGGCGGCGACGGCAAGCACGCAGCCGCCAGACTGGCACGCAGGCTCAGTTCCTTACAAAACACGTGCGAAACCTTGAGTGCAAAGCACTGTTTGGGGAAAAAGGAACAATCACACGCATGGCCACCGATGGCAAGCTGGGGTCGGTGGATTTGATGCCGTACTCCTTCTTCCGCATGTTGGAATCTAGTGTGAAGGGGCAAAAGTTTGACAATTACAGCAGCAAGTTCTTACACGCGGTCGACTGCTTGGGAGACTTAGGGGCCCAGGGTTGCGAGAGTTACAACGAGTATTTGAGCATTTTGCATGCCGGTTCATCGGAGTTGAAGAACACGTTTATCGGGACGAAGACCTTTGCAGATGGATACGAGTGTGAGGCGAAGTCGCCTTATCTTGTGTACAAAGTCACGTACCCGCTTGCGCACCGAAAAGTTACCAGGACACACAAGGAGCCCCTGGACCTCTATACTGAGTACGGAGCAAGGATGGTTCCTGCCGTTCAACAAAGCATTACAAGCATGCTTGGAGATACCTCGTACAACGGAACGGGATTTTCCAACAATTTGGCGAAGGCGGTGCGTGAGATAGCGTCCCCAGAAAGTGGAGCTCGGGTCGTCGGTCCCGACTTCTATGGCTTATTGAACGTGTCTCACGAGCAAAGCAAGGCCTTTGCCGCCAGGGATTCTGGCACTGGTTGGGCCTTGACACCTGGTGCTTTAGCACGCTGCGGCGCTGGGGTCAAGGACTTCGCGACGGCGGGGGCTTTCGGCTTCTGGCGCAAACATACAGATCTGGGGAATGTGATGTGGTCGCCGAGCTCTGAGCGCGTGATCGTTGCGCGAGGCACCGCGTTGTCTGATACGCATGTATTTGCAGTTCTGAATATGCGCGAACGGCTATGTTTCCTTGACACGTTGTGGTTAAACTGCCGACCGATCGAAAGCAGACGCGTCCAGTTCGACTACAAGACCTTCTTCGGACCTTTGGAGATCCTGCTTGTCTCGCCGCGACAGTACAGCGGCCGTGACTTCCAGCTCTGGACCGACGGAGTAGCACAGGGCCAGAAATGCTGCAGGGAGAAAGGACTGCTGAGGCCATCGCATGTGAGCCAAGACTGATTAGGATGCAGCCAGATCGACCCGGCTCGTGTCTCTTGCCCTACATGTGCGGTTAGTCTGGGGCAAGCCCCGCCACCGTGCAATCGCGGCGTTGACAAACATGCCGTCGTCATAGAACATGCCACACGGGTTCTCAGGACGCTCTTGGGCCGTCTTGGGCGCGATGGCTCCATCGAGTTCTCCCCAGATGGTCCAGCATGACCATCTTGGGCCGGCTTGGGAGCAGCGCTGCGACACCAGCGTTGCATGACCAGGGTGTCTGATGGCTGTTGCGTTGCCTCTGGCGGGATTCTTGGAAGCTATCTTGGGGCTTCTTTGATACCACGCGGGCTTTTCTCGTGGCCATCCTTTTGACTCCTTGGCAGCTTCCAAAGGGGATAGGGCAGTGGGCCTTGGAGCCGTCTCGGGAATGGTGGTTCTACCTAGCTTTCCCGAAGATGCGCTTGTCCTGACCATCTTGGGCTCCGGGGTGTCCTGAAGGGTCACGGGGCCGTCTAGGCTTTTGGGCCCTGTCTTGCGCGGTGTTCGAGCTATGTCGGTCTCTCGTAAGGCTGTCTGCCGATGCTTCATATGGGCCCATAGGGGCGGTATCAGGGGGCCTTTTCTGAAGCCATCTTGGGCCGAATCGTTTGGAGGCATTGCAGACTCCACTGCTCCTGAATCTAACGCTTCGCGTAACCCCACCAGCCCATCCAGACACGATGCCTTTTGGAGTTGCCCTGGTCAGGGATGCGGAGGAGCATGCAGTGGAATAATGGTCTGAGGAAGCCGTCCAACCCCAAGAGGCGGAAGGATGGACGAGGAATCGCAGGAGCAGGAGGGCGAGCAAAAAGGCCTAAAGCCTTTTGAATGCCTCTCGGAGTCTCTTTAGATGCGTCTGGAGAGTTTCTTGGAGCACTCTTGGGGCGGCTTGGGGGCTTCTGACGGTCCACGAGACCTCTTGGAGCGTCTTGAGTGCCTCGGGGGGGGCCTCTCGCGGGTGTCTTGGGAACCTCTTGGGGACCTCTTGGGGATTTCTTGGGGGCCTCATTAGGGCCTTTTGGAGGCTCCTGGGCGCCTCTTGGGGCCCTCTTGCGGGCACCCTTGGGGGCCTTGAGGGCCATCTAGGGACCATCTTGGGGCCATCTTGGAAGAGATCGTTTAAAGAAGGGAGGGTCCTGAATTAGGGCCTCACCAGGAGGCCAACATGTATCAAAAACGTCAGTCTAACCAATGATGTTGGCCTTCTCGCCGAGCGGACGCTCTGACACCTCGCCGCCCCCCCCCCCCCGTCCAGGTCCATGGGTGGGGGGCAAGGGGAGGGGCAAACCCTTCCCCGAAACGGAAGAGGGCAGATGGAAGAGGTAACGTTCTTAACCACTCACGCCCTAAAGGGCTGGTCAGTTCTTTTGACTTTTCCTCTAGGGTTTCTGCTGGCTGCTCGGGAACAACCCACACAGCTGGTCACAACACCGTGTTACCAAAGTATTTGTCCCCAGGCCTGGTTCTGATCATCCATATACAAGTGCCGTGGATGGGGCAAATTAGCGCGAAACCGATACATAACCCGGGAATCCCGCTACTAACGGGCATTGAGCGCGGCCCAGGCAGCAACGACCACAGGTTGAAAATATGCTCTTGGAATTCGCGCTGACTTGCACATGTCACAAGGGAGCCGCCAATCCTGCCCAGCTGTTAATCCGTAAGGGCTTCGCCCCCTGCCGCTGGCCCCCCTCTCTTAGAATGGAACTTGTCAGAGTTGTGCTGGGATGTCTGGACGTTGACGTCAAGCAATGTCGGGACTTCACGCGAGGGCCAATATCAATTCACAGGATGGCTTCGGTGGCGCTAGCATTAGATGCGTTACGATGGTTTATGGCTTCGGGGACGCGACTATTGCGTAATTTACGAGGGTTTGTGGCCTCGGGGGACGTAAATATGGAGTCGTTTACCAGGGTGTATGGCCTCGGGAGCGCAGGTAAACATATAAAATCGGAGTGTTGGGCCCCCCGGCCGCGCCCGGGACACAATGACAAATGGGGCCGCCCCTTTGGTAACTCAATTTGGCCCCCGGGGCCCGGGGCCTGTTTTCGGTCCTTTGCGGGGCGGTTCCAACCCCGGGAGCGTTCCAAGAACATCCACGATCGCCTCCAGACGGCCTAAGAGGTTTCCAAGACGACCCCATAGCGCCCCAAGAGCGCTCGAGGACAGCATAAGGTGGCCTCAAAACAGCCCAAGAGGCTCCCAAGAGGACCCCCGCGAAGCAGAAATCGTCCCATTCCTGTTCGGAAAACGTACAATTTTAGCATCATCGCTTGTTTGGTTTCGAGAGCGTCCAAGGTGGCCCACGAAGCCCCCAAGGTCGCTCCAAGACGGCCCAGGAGGCCCCCAAGAGGGCCCCAAGACGGCCCAAGAGAGCCCAATGACGGCCCCTAAAGCGGCCTCAAAGAGGCCCACAGGCTCCCAAGAGAGCCCCGTGAGAGCCACAGGAGGGCCCAGAGCCCCAGGAGCGCCCCAAGACGGCCCCAGCTTCCCAAGACTGCCCAAGAGCGCTCCAGGACGACCATCGAGGGCCCCAAATGAGCCCCAAGAGGCCCCAAGAGGGCCGCCAAGAAGGCCAAGTGATGCCATTTTGTGTGATTTTCTATTGTTTTGGCGTTCTCGCCTCTCCGGTCTCTCAGCAGCTCGCGACGGCCTCAGAGGCATTCCCCCGATCGCCCCAAGATCCCCAAGACAGCCCAGGAGGCGCCCAAGACGACCAATGAGCGTCCGACGAGGGCCCCACGAGAGGCCCAAGAGGGGGAGCTCGAACTGACAGTTCGAGCCCTCCGCCCCAAGTCAACCCCCGATACTGCCACCAGGCCTCCCAACTCCCCGCAGGAGGATCTCAGAGGCGCAGGTGACGCCCCCCGAAAGGCCCCAAACGGACACACGGCCCCCAGGAGGCCCCAGGAGATCTCCTCATTCTCGTTTCTCCCCTTTGCTCGTCGCCGCGTGGAAGAGGGGAAAGAGGAGGAGGAGGAGGAGGAAAAGAGGAGAAGGAGGAGGAGGAGGAGGAGGAGCAGGACAGGAACCCGAGCGAACGTAAGAGGATAATTCGCAGGTGACAAGGGGTAAGGAGATGACCGTAACATTGGCGAGAGGAATGGACCCATCATGAATGAGTTGGCTCGCGAGATGTGTTGTCAGCATGTGGCAACTATTGAGCAATCGAGTTGCACTCGAATCGCCCCTGCACTCCTCAGTGGCACATAGGCAATTTGCGATGCGCGTTCCTTGTGCGAAGCGCGCGCGTGGTTCTAGTTGTTCTAGTTGCGCGAACGGCCTCGGGGACGCGAATCTTGTGTAATTTGCGAGGGTTTGTGGCCTCGGGGACGCAAGCCTCGTATGATTTACAAGGGTTTATGGCCTTGGGGACGCGAATATTCAGTAAGTTTTGAAGGTTTATGGCTTCAGGGGCGCGAGTACTATGTAGTCAACAAGAGTTCATGGTTCGGGAACGCAAGTATTGCATAATTCTTTACGCTTCGCGTATCCCCACCAGCCCATCTCACAGCAGCAACTCTTGCGAAGCATGCCGACAGTCGTGTTTTTCAGGCGTGTGTCCGCTTGGCCCCGCATATCTCCCCTGTTCCTCCTTCCTCCCGCCTCCTTGTACATCCTCCTTGTGGGGGTAGCGGGAGAAGGACAAGGCGGAGGAGGAGGGAGAGAAAGCGCTCCTCGTGATTTGAGTCGTTTGGGGTTTCTCGTCCTGGTGTGAGTCGTTCGGGCCCTTCTTCCTGGTGTGAGTCGTTCGGGCTCTTCGTGGTGTGAGTCGTTCGGGCTCTTCGTCCTGATGTGAGTCGTTCGGGCTTCTCGTGGTGTGAGTTGTTCGGGCCCCTCATCCTGGTGTGAGTCGTTCGGGCCCCTCCTCCTGGTGTGACTCGTTCGGGCTCCTCGTGGTGCGAGTCGTTCGGGGCCCGCGTCGTGGTGTGAGTCGTTCGGGCTCCTCGTGGTGTGAGTCGTTCGGGCGCCTCGTCCTGGTGTGAGTCGTTCGGGCCCCTCCTTGTGGTGTGAGTCGTTCGGGCTCTTCGTGGTGTGAGTCGTTCGGGCCCCTCGTCCTGGTGTGAGTCGTTCGGGCTCCTCGTGGGGCCTCTTGGGGGCCTCTTGGGGGCCTCTTGGGGCCTCTTGGGGGCCTCTTGGGGGCCTCTTGGGGGCCTCTTGGGGGCCTCTTGGGGCCTCTTGGGGGCCTCTTGGGGGCCTCTTGGGGGCCTCTTGGGGGCCTCTTGAGGCCTCTTGCCTCTTGGGGCCTCTTGCGACCTCCTCAGAAGCGCAAATGAGCGCTGCCCCCTGTGAAGGACAAAATGAACCCAAAACCTTCGTAAAATCAATGGTTTTGCTATGAAGGAAGATGAGCGCTGCACCCTCAGAAGGCCAAAATGGGGCCAACACCCTAGTAAAATCAATGATTTTGGGTTCAAAGAAGAGTAGAGGCGCCAAACGGTGCCCCCCCCCTCGGGGCCAGAATCCTCGTGAGGGTCGTCGTTTTTTAGCCCTCCCAGGAGTCGAAAAAGGCCCTCCTGACCACGCTCGGGACTCCCTGTCCAGGTCCAGGGGGGGGGGGTAGGGAGAGGGGTAAACCCCTCCCCGAAGGGGAATAAGGGGGGTTGAGGACAGAGAGAGCTCTCTAAACCACTCACGCCCAAAGGGCTGGTGGGATAAGTAGTGATAGTGGTAGTAGTAGTAGTAGTAGTACGAGTACGAGTAGCAGTAGTAGTAGTAGTAGTAGTCGTAGTAGTAGTAGTAGTAGTAGTAGTAGTAGTAGTAGTAGTAGTAGTAGTAGTAGGAGTAGGAGTAGGAGTAGGAGTAGGAGTCAAGCTAGCCAGCTCGAGCGAGTCAAGCATGGCATGCCCAGTCCCACCCGCCCTCCCACAACATAAGAAGCAAAGCTGGCACAACTGGGGGCCGAAGTCACACCGGCCAGCCGGTTTGGTACAGCTGATGCGGCCGCGATGGCGGTTGCCGACGGGAACTGGCGAGCG